AAAGAAGCCATTTCAGAGGAGAACGGCATTTTGTAAACACTGTCCTGACCTATTTTAAACTTTTCCTTCAGGTAATCGATGAGTACTTCTTAGAAAATGAGCGTACATTAGTTTTATGATGTGCTTTATTGATTTAAAAATTTTATGGGGATATATGAAGCAATAAAGTGTATTTTAGAAGCTTTTCAAATCCCTGTCATGAAGGTTCAGAATTTGCATGCGCCAAGTAACGGCATAATTCAATACACTGATTTTAAACCACATTATCTCTGAAATGATAGCTCGTTTCAAGACAAAGTTTATAGAAACAGATATAGTATTCATTGTAGAGTATTCTACTTAATTTTAATGTGGTTTTACTCGAAATTTTTCTTGCCAAAAATGTGTATACGCACATGACAAGTTGAACCTACTGTCTTCTGAAAGTACTTTGTAGTACAGTAGGGTCATGAAAACAGTCGAAATCATGCCATAAAATGCACGAAAAGTTCTTCTACAAACTTAGTTTTAAACTAGATTGAACTTTCTTTAATTCTATATTGTATTTCATGAAAACATGCCAGGTATTTTCATCAAAAACATGCTAAAAAAAATCGTAACTACTCACTTGGATTTAGTGTTCATGTTTCTTGCGATTTCCCACTTCACTTTTCCGTTAGATTGAAAGAAATTGCTGTTTTTCTGGCCGAAAATCGCGGAACTTGATTTGGACAAGAACTTGACTTGAAACATATGCACACTCCCTTATGTTTTACAATATATTTTATATGTAAAATACTTTAAAAACCTCTTCTTTTTCATCCTTAAAACGTGCTGCAAAGTCCTGTCTTGTGACACTTTGCGGTTGTCACAGGTTTTGTAAAAAAATAGAGTTTTAAAATCGAAAATCTTCGCAAACTTTTGATCAATTCTCGCATGATGTATCGTTTGAAAGCCCGAAGTTTGCACTTTATACTTGTGACCGTTGCTAGGCAACCCGATAAACACGCGCTAGACAATCGTGCCAGGAAGTTGACGTGTCATTCAGGACACATGAGGGCGCAATGAGACTTACCCTGTTCCCAATTCCAGGGCACATGGGGGCGCAGTGAGACTTAATGAGGGGGATGTGTAGTAAGTTTTATGACATATTATAGCCGCTGTGCTCGTTGATCGAGGGAGACTTTTTGGTTTTGAAAAAATATTGCAAACATGTTGTAATTTTAGACAGACTTTTTGTGGTTATTTGTGTATATAAGAGATGGTTTTATTTCAAGAAAACAGGCGATAAAGTGTCAGTTTCAGATCGGGAAACACATATGCTCCAGTTTTTCCAGGTTGCTGGAAAATTCAAGAACATTGCACAAGAACAACATTCTCAGTAGTCGTAAGAATTCTTCATTGGGTCTGTGGTCGTCGACAGTTTGCATGCTGTCTGTAAATTTAATTGAAAGGAAAACACACATGCAGTCCTTTTCATTTACCACCTTTTGTGTCTCAGTTTGTGTCTAAGTTTGTGTCCACCTTTGTACTCTACTACTCTCTTGTTGTGTTACAAGGTATTTACCATCTCATTATCTATCCCACTTTTTTAGTGTGAAGTTTCTTCGAAACTTCACAGTATTGTGATGGTGGGGGAAATTCAAACGAAACAGTCAGTCAGTCATTCATTCAGTCATACAGTAAACTTTCCGGGGGGCGTGTACGATTTATGTTCGTAGTGATTTATTGTGCTTAGTCAGTACTTTGAAGGTTATTTAGGCAATTTCAGTTAACTTATTTACATATTCTGTTATCCTTTTACCAAGTTCACAAAAATTTCTACCAATCGCTTCCGTTATTGTAATTCTTTGTAAATTTTGGAACATTCGCTTCTCATGTTGTGTAAAGGATCTTTACCCCGGAACACCCGATTTTTCTTTAGTAGCGCAAATGCGCATGCGCTATCACGCCGTAGATCACGATGGCGTGACGATATGCTAGGAAGGAGTGACAGTGTTGTTTTCAGATGTATAAACATTTCAGACGTGAATATTGAGTAAATCTTTGAAAATCTACGCAATATATAAATTGATCTTATGCGTTACGGCCGTTCAATTAATAAGTGTCGATAATATTTAGGCGGTATATTCATTATACAGAGCTAGGAAGGAGCTAGACCGCCTAGACAGTGCATTTAAGACTCAAGTGTATAAACATTTCAGACGTAAATATTGAGCCGAAAATCTTTGAGATTCTAGGCATTCAATTGAGTGCTGATATTATTTTCACGGTATACTCATTATACAAGGGTACAGTATGTACGAAGAAGCGAGACAGTGTTGTTTTTCAAATATATAAACATTTCAGACATGAATATTGAGAAAATCTTTGAGATTCTACGCAATAATATGATATATAAATTGATGAGTATCAGTTACCGGCGTTCAATTAAGTGCCCATCGATAGACGATATTATTTAGACCGTGTATTCATTATACATTGTTATTTGACTGTATAAGGTGCCACATCACAGAATAGTACACTCAGTCAAAGAGCGAAAAATTGCATCAGATCAATAAAGCATCAACAACTATTAAACAGAAGCGGGCGTTCGTACAGGCGTTTATGAAGAAAATATTGCGAGACGAAGGAAATCAGTTGAGTCAGAGCTCCTTATTTTAATAAGAAAGACGAGGAGATAGCCAATATGTTATCGCCAACGTGTTATCGCCAATCGTTTGGCTCACCAACAAGCTTTATGCAATGGAAGAAAAAAGCAAGGAGGTACATGTAGCCAACGTGTACTGTCGCGGACCTTGTTTACTGTCTAGCACAACGCCGTTGTCAACGGTGCAAATTCGTGTTCAGTGCAACGTTAACTCTACCGGATCTTACGAGAATTAATCTGTAGTATTCTGTACACAGAACTGTATCAAAGCTTGTCAAAACTGCTTTAAACACTGCTATAACTGTGAAACTATTGAAATCTAAAGTGACATTATTCAAAACATGCGAAAAGTTAAAAATAGACACAACGTGACACTGGGAAAAGTCAAAGGTCAATGCGGACTTGTTATTGTAAAACATGTCACAATTAGGTTAAAATGCGGAAGCGGATGGAGCGGATCCACGGAACGGATATGCGGATAAAATACGGAACGGATGAGGATAAAATGCGTCTTTTAATGATGTAACGACGTAGTGCTTATTATTCATAACATATCTTATACAGCTATTTCAATTATAGTTTATTAGATAAATTTAGCATAGCAGTAGCCTGGTGGGGATGCTTTCAGCGACAGCTGCAAATGCAAATGAAAATTTAGAATATGCAAAATTTGGTTGTTGGTGACACAATAAATAGATGAATTGCATCAGTTTCACAAGGCACGTTCCTGATGTGTTAGGCTTGTTTCAAACGTCACGCTACTCGTTTGCCGAGCGTATTCAAAGCAATAAATAATGAGATGAAATGCCTTTGGTAACTGTTTATTTCGTAGTGTAAACCATCGAGCTTTTCTAGGTTGTCGGCGACCCTATATAGTTCTCGCAGTGTCTTTTTAAATTTGAAACTTCACACTATCCTTGGATCCCTAGTCTCGGTTTGGACAAAGTTTATTTTAAAAATTACTTCGCTAATGTACTCATCAGAAGATGGGTCGGGTCGTTTTTTAAGCCATTACGCGTCGTGTTTTACATGTTTTAAATATATATATATATATATATATATATATATATATATATATATATATATATATATATATATATATATATATATATATATATATATATATATAAACAACTGGCCTCTGTAGCTCAGTTGGTTAAGGCTTGTTTACACTTGCAATTTTTGCTACGATTTCTAGGGCGATTTTTTTAAATCTCCAATGTAAACGCGCGATTTTTCCATTTTAGTAGCTTGTAAACTGAATTAAATTTTCAATACACGACTCAAACAATACAAAGATTTTGTTCTAATTAGGTTGTTTACGGCTGTTTTCTTATAAGTGATTGGCTGTAGAAAACCATTCCCGACTGTTCGTCACCTGTTTTAGTTTATTCAATAAAAATACAGCGTATAAAAAGCCAAGGGATCTTTTCTATCGAAACGCCAGTTTTTGTTCTAAAGTTACTACAAAGACAAAGTGGACGCGGTAAATATTTATAGTATTGCAGTACTTCGTTTTTATTACCTCCGCCAGGAGGTTATGTAATCATCTGGGTTTGTATGTGTGTGTATGTGTGTGTGTATGTGTGTGTGTATGTGTGTGTGTATGTGTGTGTGTTTGACTGTGAGCACGATAACTCAAGAAATACCAAAAATATCCGTACGAAATTTTTTGAATGCATTTCCCATCGGCTAAGGAAGAACCGATTAAAATTTGGTTGAATTTGGTTAAAAATTGAACGAGAAATGAACAAAATTTTGTCTTGCTTTTCCCGGTCAATTAACAAAAAATATTACTGAATGCGTAATTATGACGTGTATAATTTATGCACTCAGTGCTAAGACAATAATGAGATGATAAACCTCATTAAGCTTCGGCCTTCATTATCTATTGTCTTCGTTGCATTTCACGCGACCGAAATTCAATGTCTAAAACAAGGCTTACGGAGTTACGCATTATTACATTCAGCAAAGTGCCAGTCCATTCAAATTCTAACAACATTAGATTACTTCAATACAGGGTGTATAAAAAGAACGCAACCTCGGAATTTCCCAAGAAATCGACATTGTTTTAAAGAGAAAAGATTTTAGCTGCCTGGGAATTTAAAGTAGCACAACTGTGAAAATTACTGCACGCGCGAGTGCATAAAGCAAAATTTATGCATTTATTTAATGACACATAATAAGTTTTTTTTTTACAAGTACTGTACAGTACAACAACATTAATATGTTCTATTAGCAATTCGATTTCAACTCGCGGGGGCCTGAAATCTTTTATGCTTAAGAATTATAAAGTGGATTTCTTAGGAAATTCCAAGGTTGCGTTTCACTTCCGAGTAACGGGCGGAGGTATGCAGTCTCTGAGTGCCCTCTAGTTCATATTGTTTTTGTTATATTTCTATGCAAATGTATATCTTTTATGTGTGTGACAAAATGAATAAATAAATAATATTCGAGAAAATGAAATTCAAGGTGTTTTTTGCCTCACCACATGACAATTGTGAATTGTATGTGCTTTATTTTAAAAATTGCATGAAATATATGGTTCCATCTTTTCAATTTGTATTTCAGTGATGGAGCAGGACGTACAGGAACATACATTGCCATTTCAAACCTTCTTGAACGAA